GTTTCCAAGGAGCACCGATCTGGCGCTACCTCCGTAGGGAGATGGAGATCCAGCTCCAGCCGGATTTGGATTTTTTTTTTCAAAGACAAAACATAATAATTTATATAATATAGTAATTTTAAAAATTGATAAAAAGTAAAATTATTTTTTAATATTATTATATTATTAAATTAATAAAAATATTAATGATGAATTAACAACTAGACTTGTGCATTCAGTAAAAAAAATTATTTCGAAACAAATTGTTTATTTTAAAAATTAATAAACTAGTAAAGAATTATAATTAAAAATTAAAAGTGAGGATATTTTCTCTCTTTTTTTCTTCTTAGTTTTTATTAATATAGCATTTTTAGCAAATTAACACAACTTAAAATGAATAGATTAAAGTAGTTATTGCCGTTAGTTATGAAGTTTGATATCAAAGTATTTGAGTTGTTTTAAATTTCATGACTTAAAAATGACAGGAGTATACAGTAGAAATCAACGAATAAGTTTACAAGGATCTTTATAATGACAAAAATAAATATTAAAATAAAATAAAACAAACATTTTTATATGTTTTATATTTAATTTATTTTTTATAATATTAATATATTAAATATAATATTAAAAAAACTTTTTGAATTATTATAAAATATTTAAAATATATTATATTTAATAAACTCATATGTTTTTTATTTTGTACTAAATAAATTTTTATGATTAATTATATTCAAAATATTATGTAATAATGATATGACATGTTAACATGTTATATTAGATGATGACGTGATATATTGATATATCATATGGTATAAAATGATGAGTATTGCTTTAACCAATAATGATAAATACACTTAAACATTTGACTTATTAATCAGTATATGATATCTTTAGTTAGATAATATAGTTTAAATTTATTTTTTTCTAATTATAAAAAAATTAATGATAATAAATTAATTATTAATTATATGTATTTATTTGACTTAAAATAAAAATATAAAACTTTGATTTAACATAATTAAAAAAATTATTTTAATTTTTTAAAATAATTCATAAACTTTTGAAAATATTATGTAATACATTAACATACAAATAAATGTTAAAAAGTAGACATAATTTTGAAAGAACAAAAAAAAAATTACACTTAATTTAAAACTAAAGAAATAAATATTAACAAAACTAAAGTGAAGAAGAAATGGCTTTTAATTATTTCGACTTTGCTTGTTTAATCCTTAATTAAACTCGATTTGATCTTAAACTTGTATACGAAATAAAAAAAATTGCAATTTGAACTTGGATAGCAAAAGAATTTTTCGTAGTAGGCTACGTAGAGTAGCCATTTGAGCATGCTTGCTTAACTTGAAGCATAATTCAGCTGCCAATAACACTTTCTAAGCATATTAGAATTTATTAGATCAGCACTTTGAAAATGAATATACAAAAAAAAAAACAATTATTACAGCCTGCCACTCTGCCATTTAACGTTACTGGTTCAGATTCAATCTTGACTTAAGGTTGGGAGCATCAGCGCTTTGTGGCAAAGTAATCAATTCAGGAACAGCGACCCACAACAAACCATGTCCCAGGAAGATCAAGACCAAGAACTTGGCAAGCTAGCCGTCCGGCTAGCCAACGCCGTCATTCTTCCCATGGTGTTAAAATCAGCCCTGGAGCTGAACATCATCGACATAATCTCCGCCGCTGGTGACGGCATGTTTCTATCACCTTCCCAGATCGCGAGTGGCCTTCCCACCAACAATCCTGAAGCGTCTGTGCTACTAGATCGAATGCTACGCCTGTTGGCTAGCTATTCCGTTCTAAAGTGCTCGGTAAGAACAAAGGAAAGCGGAGAAGTTGAGAGACTCTACGGAGCAGGGCCCTTATGCAAGTTCCTTGTTAAGAATCAGGATGGAGGGTCTGTTGCTCCTTTGTTTTTGTTGCACCATGACAAAGTCTTCATGGAAAGCTGGTATTTTGCATAATCTTTGCCAATTTTTTTCTTAACAAAAATTTCGTTATCTTTAAAACTTCAGGTTTATTTATTGTTATATAAGGTGAAAGCAAAATTCTAAATATACTGATAACACCACTTAACAGTTAACACTTCCCTGTGTAAGGGTAATTCTAACAAACTGAAGCAAAAGTTAACTCAAATTAACTCTATCAACTGGGATTATAAAAGCTATGATAGACTCAAATTAGATGTGAGATAACATTACTTAACATTTGTGGGTTTTGATAACTTATTTTGTTGGATTTCAGGTGCCATTTAAATGATGCTATACTAGACGGAGGGATTCCTTTTAACAGGGCTTATGGGATGACAGCATTTGAGTATCCTGGAACAGATCTAAGGTTCAACAGGGTATTTAACCAGGCTATGTCCAATCACACTACTTTGATCATGAGGAAGATTCTTGATGTTTACAAAGGGTTTGATGAGGTGGAAGTGTTGGTTGATGTTGGTGGTGGAATTGGAGTTGCTCTCGGTATCATTACTTCAAAGTATCCTCATATCAAGGCAATCAATTTTGATCTGCCTCATGTTTTGGCTGATGCACCAACTTATTCAGGTACTCTGTCGCTCCCTTTTTACCCACTTGACTTGATCACTGTGAAATTTCTATAAAATGATGGGATAATTGGTAATCCAATTTGATTGCCCTGTTCATATCTCTTCACTGACTAATTTAAAGCGTTGTCTTAGCTGGCACATTTTTATGTTCTCTGTCTCTCTCCACATACCCCTAACACAAAGTACTTGAAACTGCAGAACAATGTCTGTTTCTTTTTAATTCAAGTTCATTTAATTATGTATAGTCTAAAGGTTGACAGTAATCGAGTTCATGTCTTACTACTTTCTGCAAAAGGTGTGGAGCATGTTGGAGGAGATATGTTTGAAAGTGTTCCAAAAGGTGATGCCATTTTCATGAAGGTAAAGCTTTATTTCATATAGAAAACTAAATGGAGCACCTTTTTCTATATATTTAGCTAGTTCAGTTGTATTTTCGGTCATGATTGATAAATTTAGAAGGTTGAAAAAGCAGACTAACTAGCTATAAGTCTATAGAAATGAGCTTAACTACATCCAAAGCAAATTTGTTTCCTTTTCTTAGTTTTATTTTCTGAACTCCCCATCAATATAACTTGAGAAAATCTACAACTCCAAGTGAATATCTACCATCGTATTTCTTCAAAAGATTTGTTGGTAAGTTTTGCTATGTTGTTTGTTGATAAAACTTGCAGTGGATACTTCATGATTGGAGTGATGACCATTGCTTGAAGCTTCTCAAGAACTGCTGGGAAGCTCTCCCTAATGGTGGCAAAGTAATCATTGTGGAATCAATCCTCCCTGAGGCTCCTGATAGCAGTGTTTCTTCCAACATTGTTTGTGAGCAAGATCTATTGATGTTAGCTCAAAACCCTGGGGGCAAAGAGAGAACCCGAAAAGAATATGAAGCCTTGGCTTTAAGAACCGGCTTCTCTGGCTGTGAAGTCATCTGCTGTGCTTATAACAGCTGGGTCATGGAGTTCCACAAAAGAGAAACTCTTTGATGTTCTGTTCAAAACTTCAATTCTGGTACTTCAAAATGTGTTGTTCTATTGCTATATGTATTTGCATCTCATGATGATGTTAGTCTCTAATATGTAACTGGTTCTTTCTGAATGGAATAGTTTCTTCTATGGCTCCAAGAACCAGAAGACTCATTGTGTTGGGTTTTTGTATTATGGTTGACAAGCTTTCTTCCTTGTGCATGATATCAATTATCTGTGCCAGCCATGACTGTCTTGGGCTTAATGAAAATTACCATTTACCTCCTCTGTCAATTTTGAAGATGTTCAGGAGTGCATTAAACCGTTTTGGTTTATTAGATTGAAGCTACATATTCATTTGTATAAAACCAAAAATCAAATGACAGCGCCAGTAATTTGCCTACTTAGTTTCAACTTTGAACTCAAAAGTCCAATAGCTTTCAAAGGAAATTTTCGAAGTTAATAGAAAAGGACATTAACATGAGAAAAGGAGAGAGAGAGATAGAGAGAGGAGGAGGAGGAGAAGATGAAGAAGAGCAGTGGTAGCTTTTGACGGCCTGTGACAACCCAATTAGTGAAATGAAAACTCGCATAGTTTTCTTCCTTTTATTCCCACAAGGAGTCCAGATCGCCTACCCACAAAAGTTTATTAGTAACTTGTATCCCCTAAAAACTGGTACGGAAACAAAGACGTGGAAACGCCAAGCTCTAATCTAAAACCATCTTTGGGACTCATGGGACTGTTCTTAGCTTCACTCTTCTCCATGAACTAGTGGTCGTCGGTTAAAAACTCAGGCGGAAGATGTTAAAGATGATCTTCTTTATCATTCTCTGTTTCAGTAGAACTCATAGCGGACTGAGAACTTAGATCCGAAGAGAATCCAAAAGAGTCAAAACCTGTAAGGAAACTCGTACGGAAACAAAGACTTGGAACCGTCAAGCTTTAATACAGAACCATCTTTGGGATTCTTGGGATTGTTCTTAGCTTTACTCTTCTCCATGAACTTATCGTCGGTTAAAACTCAGGCGAAAGTCAAAACTCGCCGTCGTCTAAAACCTCCGCCACGACAGAAGAAGAAGCAAAGAGAAAAGGCTGGGGAGAAAACGAGGGAAAACATCAGGACGGGAAAAAGAAGAGACTTGACAAACAAAGACTGCCATTAAGTCCTATGGGCATGGCATGATATTATAAAAAGGGCAGACGGATTTGCATTCCACCAGAAGCTATTAGTTTGTTGCTTCAATCATTTCAAGGTCATAATCAAGGTGCCCCTGATCCCTGGAGCTTATGGTACTGCGTGGGAGGGAAAGTTGAATCCTTAGAAACATTGCGCATGTATACCCATAGATGTCATGAAGCAAGTCCCCCACTCTGTTTGACGCAAGAGTAGCTACACTGCGTAACAACTTAAATATCTGCTGGTAAGATTTGAGTAATATTATTAGAAGCATGAGAATGCATAAAAGCAAGACAAAGTAGCCAAATGGCGGGAGGAGTATCAAGAGAAGGAAGTCACAGACGAGAGCTCCCAAAACGAGACCGATATGGTTCAGTAGAGGAAGGTAGCCCGTGCAATGAGATTGTAGGGCTATTACAGCCACCGTCAGTGAAGTGTAGGTGAAGGCAAAGACGATGAAAATCTTCATTATCAGAGCGTGCGTTTTGAAGGGAGACTTATCGTCGTTTTGATACATAACTTGAATGGTGGTGAGCAGTATAACTACGAGAGAGCCGATGGCAGCTTGGATTATAGTAGAGTGACCGACTCCTTGTTTACTGCGTACAAGAATATGAAATCAATTGATAATAATCAATAGAAAAATCCATACATTATAAACTTGTAAGATTCTAATCCAACCTTTCAGAGCCAAGATCAATGCTTGATTGATTGTTCTGCATCTCTGTTTCAGTGAAGTTGCGCTAGAGCCTCACTTGATCAATTTCTATGATGATTGGGTGTATATATATGCACTGCCAAGTGGCCACTGTCTTTCCTCAGTGACGTTTGATGCAAACTTTTCCGTCAGCCCCCGAGTAAATTACGTCATGTCCCAATCTTGCCCTTTTTCCCAATAAGTTAATTGTTCGGGTGCGGATTTGGTCCGGCTCCGTGATGTGGAGATGGGAATGCTATGTACAGGCGGCAATGCTTTTGTCTGCGCTATTTCTTTGACTTTTCGCATGTTATTAAGAATTTTTTCATTTATATAATTTTCTACAGAATGTTGAGTGGCCGATGTCAGCGGATTTGAAAGTAATGAAGGAGAATATAGAGAGAGAACATACCGGCTTGGAGATTTTAGGTCAAGCTGATTCTTTATTAAAGATGCGTATGGTGATCAAAATGACTTGTTAGAGAAAAATTATTTTTATGTAAAATATTTTATAAAAAATTTAATATATTTTATTATTTAAATAAATTGTTAAAAATATTTTTTATTATTGAGATCATTTTATGAAAAGTATTTTTTATCATGATAGAGTTATTTAAGTGTTAAAATAATAAATAGGAATTGAGCACAAAACAATATTGATATTTGATTTTTACTAATTTAAGATCAAAATTAAGAATGAAAATAAAAATAAATAAAATCAATAAAGATATTTCTCAAAACATTTAACCACATATTTGTGATTAAAATAAACTTTAATTTTTTAAAAAATTTTCATCTTATCACTTTTTTATTATAATTATAAAAATATAAATATTCATTAATTGTGTAAGATATCTAAAATTTATACTTATAAATATGTATTCATTAAATAATAATTATTAAAATTATTTTTATTATAATTATTAGTAAAATTAAAACTTTTTATAAATGTATATTCATCAAATGATGATCATTGAAATATTTTTTATAATAATTATTAGTAAGATTTATTTTATTTATAAATAAAAAATGTAATTGTATTGAATGGTTTTATTAAAATAATATTTTATAATTTAAATATTAATATTTTAAATTAAATATTAATACTCATCAAACTTATAACTTTTATATAAAAATATTTTTGTTACTCTCTGAAAAATATCTTATGCTTTCTAAAAACTATAAGATATTTTTAGCGATTAACTTGTTTTGTTTTTGACTGGGTTTTACTGCAGAAGTCGACACTGCTGCGTTTGTAGCAGTTTATTTGGCGTTCAGGTTCTTTTTGGGATGGTTTTATGATTTATCTTTCTGTTTCACCGTGATGACTGATGTTGGCTTTTCTGATTTGATGGAAGAAGCTCAGTTTCTTGCTGAGTTTAAAGGCTGGTTGGTTGTTTTGTTGATGATTGTTGTTGTGCGTAAAGAGACCTGTGCAAACAGCAATGTACAGGTTTTTGGGGTTACTATCATATGGGTTGATGCAAGTTTTGTTTTTTCGTCATCTTCTGTTCAATGAAAGGATATGGTTTTCTTTTTTGTTATTCTAGAAGGAGTTTCGGAGGGATGGTTTCGTTGCACTAGAAGGAGTCCTGTTTTCATTTTTCTCTCAGTCAAACTTATTTTTAAGATTACTGAGAAGAAATAGGAGTTTGCTTATTGGTGGGACAGAGATGGGCAGAACATTTTTGTTGGTTCCGAGCGTCATGTGCCGTAGGGTATTTTTGTGTCCTGGCTTCCGAAAAGCCAATAACTCTATATAAAGTTCAATGAAGTTTCCAAAATTTGACATTTGACTTCTCCATGTTGTGATGTGAACGTTTGAAGAGAAGGTTGGGGATAGGTTGGGAGCAGAAGGTGGGGTTTTACGGATGCGGTTAAGAATAAAAAGTCGAAAGAGAAAGAAGAATAAGAAAAAGAAAAAATTGATTGAGAAATCAGATTTCATAAAAAAAGAGGGAGATGAGGGAGTAAAAAAGAGAAAAAAAAAGAATGGGTGGTTTTTTAAGTTCAATTTTTAATTGAGATTGAATTTTTTGTACTTTTTCTCTTTTTTAAATTTTTTGTTATTATTTTTTTAATGTTTAATTTTTTTTATTATATTTATAATTTATTTTTTGTAACTTTTTTAATTACAATATTAAAAAAATAATCAAAAAAAAATCCTAACAATGCATTATATAGACCTGATAATAATGATATTACCTACACATGATAGTTCTGTAAAAGATCAAAGAATTTCAAATTTGATAAACAAGTTCATTTTGAAAAAATTTGATGTATCGTCATAATATCTTTAGACTTTTAAAAATTTATCTTTACACATTATAATGTAATTTGTAAATGATAATTTGATTCATTTTTTTAGATAATTATCTTTATTAATGTAAATTAATTCATATTTTAATATATAAAAAAATTGTGTCCCAACAAGTAACATGGGTTACACTCTAGTTTGTACTAAGTATATTATTTATTTAAAGTTTTTAGAGTTAATAATGCTAATAAATCTT